CAGCGTAAATTTAATAAAAAAAGAAATAAGCGGCTAAAACTTTAAAACATACTGTAAAAACCTATCTCCAGTTAAGCTTTTATATAAAAATTAAACTAGGGATATATTATGACTTACCTTAAGTTAAGCTGTTCCATAGAAATATCACGTGCAACTTACAAGAATCTTATGTTACAAATAGCATTTTAAAACAATAAAATTTTAAGTGAAATGCTTTTTATTTCGAAATAAATTTATAAGAAAAACATTCAATGTTCTCAAATTAAAATATTTTGAACTTATATATAAATATTAAAAAAGCATTATGCATAAAACTATAACAGTTTAACCAACTGCATTTTCATCAAAATGTATTGTAATATAATGCATTGTAATTATAATGTTTCATATTTATATATTTTATTTTTACGGTAATAACATAATATTATAATATAATGTTATCTGTAAAAATATTGCATACATCTACAACACATAACATTGATTCATTTTATTACTCAGGTAAATTATCATCATCATATTCTGTCAAATCTGGGTGTATATCCGGCAATATATCTGTGGAAAGGTTTTGCTAAAAGTTATGAAAGGTTGGATCAATATATGGTAGAAGATCTAATAAATCTTTTTTCTTCTGATGACTGATTCGTGGTATTTCTTTTTTATTTCAATTTCTTTCAATGTACCAGCTTTTACACCTCTTTTAATTACGTTAAGAACTTCAAAAGCATCGTCCTATTTTAAATTTGTTTTGTACTGCATTTTTCCAAAGCAACTTTTATCGTACCTAAACCAGCGCAGTTCTTTCCATGCAAATTGGTTAGAATTTTCGCTACGCTTCCTCCAAATAAAGTTCGATTTTGCAAACAAAGAAAAATTTTTAAAGTCGTTTTTATTCATTGTGGTTACAATAAAGTGTTTTTTTACTCCAACTGTATTTATGGAGTTTTCCCAATCTCTAGGGTGATGTATTTTTGAACCGTTTCATTTTTCATTTTATGATGGCATAATCACTGTCAGATTCCATATGAGTATGATCCGGTTCCAAAAATTTATGGTCTATGACTGTTGTATGGGCACTACCTTGCAAAAATGCTATAAACATAGAACTCAGAAATGAATTTTTATTTTGACCCACACAAGAATCGCTATAAAAAATTACATGTTTTGTTTATTTAATAGTATCTAAAGTTTCCAAATGTTTTAAAATACATGCAGCTATCTCATTGCCACCACGTTTAGCTTTTGTTTCGTCCCATATAATATAGCAATATGCATTGCCGCTATAACAATCATGGATTGTTAAGTTATACGTCCACAATTTTCTTTTATAGAAGCTTACAGAATTCTGCAGATACGGAGTAGGAAGACATTGCTGTAGGTCGAAAGTGTAAGTACGAGTAGATTTATTTAAAAAAGCTGATGCCTTGTCTCTTCTTTTTGCTTCGTAAGCATATTCCGCTTTATCATGATGTAACGTCAATTCGTTTTTCAAAGCCTTCTGGTTTCCTGGATCATTTTGTTTTGCGACATCAATTTGAGCTTTCAATAAGTCACATCTATTGCAAGTGTCTAGTTGTGGCTTTTTGAATTTTATTTTCATAGCTAGTAAAAATATTAGAATATTTAAGATACATTTTAGCATACAAGTTAGGATATTTTAGATTATTTTATTGCAAAAACTTATTTTTAAAAATGTTTGTGAATTTATTCAAACTTAATTTTATATTCAGATTTTTTTCTTGAAAAAAAGTGTACATTTTGCATATAGTCAATTCAAGTGAAAGTATTTGAAACTTGTGTCTCTTCTCGTATAATGATTTTCATAAGATGGAAAAGCGTTGATATGTTCTTTAACTTTCAATACCACATCATCAGATATTAGTTTGCCGTTTCCGTCTCTTAAATCTTTAAATTCTGCCTCCGGATGATTAATTTTTCTTTTCCTACAGTTACGAGAAAACTTTCAGTTTCACCGAAGCATTTTCTGAAGCATCTTTGACACAATTCTACTTTTTTGCTTGATACATGATACGAGTACCTTATGAAATATTTTCTATTTCTAATTTTGTTTGGGTTTTTAGGTTTAGTTATAGTTTTTGTATCTTCTATATTTAAAAGAGACGAAATATAAAGAATTCGTTCATTATAGGTTCGTAAGTTTCAGTACTTTTCAAACAAATGTTTTTGGTCAACAATAGAAATTCTATCTTTACAATTCTATCTTTACAAAAATTTCTTTTAAAGTTATAAATTTTGTTGCTGATACAACTTTGCTTTTATGCTTGTAGGATTGTCCAATGTTTCTTTTAAGTTTACGAATTTTTTGAGAATCAATTTTCGCTGAAACATCAAATTCATCTTCGTCTTCTACCGATTGCAAGACATTTTCTTGAATTTGTTTCCCTAACACCGAAGTATTGCCATCTCTACTACTTGTTTCAGATGAACTTTCACGTTGGGAAATATTAAAGCTGGGATTTGCTAATGAGTCATCGGAATCCTCTATGTGGTCTAATATTTCTTTATTAAAGTCTGAAACATTTTTTGAACAGAAAGGTGTTGCTTTAGGAAAATATGTTTTTTGTTTGTTGACATTAGCGGTAGAATTATTTACTTCAGCTGTTTATACAAAATAATAAGAGAAAACCGTAGCCCATAATTTATTATTTATTCATAATATGCACAAAATTTAATTACACTAAACTAATATAATCGTTTAAAAAATAGAGAAAAATAAACTTCTGATTTTTTAAAATATTATAGTCTGTTAATATAATTATGAAGATAATAAATAAAGCAAAAATTTATTTTTTAATATTAGACTTATGTACTCCTACTATTATATGTAAGATATTAAAAATTTAGTGTCATTTAAACAATTATAAAATTTTAGAATGATGATGCTACATTTATGAAAAAATCGTAATATTCAAAATATTTGTCACAATTTGTACATAATAAATCTAATTTAAATAATTTTTAAAAGACATTATGAATAAACTTACCATTCTGACTCTGGCGACTTCCAACAATTTTTCTAGCCATTTCTAACTTAATTTTCGCTCTGGATGACATTTTAATTTTTGTTTTATATAATATAGTAATATAAATTAGCTTTCAATTGTATTTTTTTTTTTTAATTTGTTTTCGGCATTTTCCTATAGAGTAGGTATATAATTATATAATTATAATAATAATTTACACTCACATATTTGACCAAACTCAGGAATAAAACTGAATGATACGTTCAATGTAAACGCTTAACGAAACTTATGATTCAGTTAAAAAACCGTTAGAATTTTTTATAAAAACTTAAAACGATTTAGGTTACTGCCAAAACAAGATTCAGTTTTTTATAACCGCTTAACTCTAATAAATACTTGTAAAAAATTCCAATTTAATATAAAAGCTTATCTCGACATAAGCTGTTATATTTTTTAAAACTAAATATTTTCCGAAGAAGTTTTGATATTTTATAATAACTTAACTTGAATTAGAAAAATTTAATAAAATATCATACGTATTTTCGTTTTCTTAAGTGAAGTTAAGTCATTATATTTTGTGCAGATATTCAATTAACAGAGTTAAGCGAATATATCAATGGGAGTGATTACACGCTCAGTTTTAACGTCAGTGTTTCAGCGCTGAAAAAGTGACAGGTGATTACACTATCATTTTTAACTGAAGAATTTAAAAGATGCCAGTAAGTGCAAAAAGTAATTGAAAAGTAGAAATTGGTAGTGAAACACTCAACATAAATCAAAATGAGAATGCTCAAGAACGTTATGATTGAAATTATTTATGTACATTATAATTATAATAATAATTAAGATATATTAAGAATATAAAAACTAAGGAATATAAATTAAAATAAAGGTAAGAGTTTTTAATTAAATTTATCTTAGCAAATTTTAGAAATGGATATTAAACTGCAATTAGCGGCCGCGTTATGTGCTCGGAAAAAACAATTAGGAATTTTGTTATTGTCACGAGAAACAAAAAAAAGCGGAGATGGATGAAAGATTATAGGAAACAAAGAAGAGAAAAAAGTTTTTTTTTTTACTACAGGATGAATTTAGATTAAGGGATGCAGACAGTTCAAAAGTGTTTTGAAGAAATATTAGAACATGTCCTCATATTGAAAAAATTAACACAATTATGAGATGCAATACCAGCTGAAGAAACCTTGGCTGCAACTTTAATATATTTGGCAACTGGCGAGAGTTTCAGAAGTTTGGATTCCCAGACCAGACTTTTACAATCTCATTTATCAACAACGATTGTTAAAGTTTGTGAATTGATATACAAAAAATTAGGTCCCCACTATATGAAAGTAAATACCTACTCTAAGTACTAATAAGTATTATTACTTTACTAAATATTAGAGGTTGTTATGAAATTCAAATTATATGTATTACGTATTTTAGTTTCCAGAGACCATTAATGATTGGAAAATAATTGCTGATAACTTTTACGCTAGGTGGCATTTCCTTTATGCTTGGGTGCAATGGATGGAAAGCATATTCCCTTTGTAGCTACAAAACAGGATAAAACTGAATTTAATAACTATAAAGGTTTATTTTATCAATAGAAAAATAGCTTAAAAAAAGTTTTTCTCTTATATTTAGGTTGTAAGTTCTGCAGTTGCAGACGCAGACTTTAAATTTATTTTGGTTGACGTAGGCTAAAAAGGTAGGATTAGTGATGGGGGAGTTTTGAATAGAAGTGATTTAAGAACAATTATCGCAAATACTTCGAAATATTTACTTTTTTTATTTTATTTTCAACTACAAAAATGCCTAAAGAGACAAGTCTCATAAAAAGCTTTATAAAAGCAATATAAAGTATGTATACAAAAACTTCATTTACTTTTAAGTACGTATCAAACAAAAGTGCAAATAAAAGAGAAAAAAAATGATAGACTTTGTTCAAGTTAATTTAGTTATAAAATTTTTTTGCAAGAAAAAGCTAATCTTAAATCCATTTATTAGTTTTAATAGAAATTAGTTTTTTAGTTTATAATTATCGAGTGTCTTCATATTTTCAGGAATTTCATTATATAATTTAATTGCCTTATAGATTGATGTTGATGTTCCAAATTTTGTTGTGTTCTTTTTGGCGAGATGAATCTGTTGTTTGCTTCTTGTATTGATTTCATTATGATCACTTCTTGTCGTAAGTTGAGTGGTAGAATGTAATTCGCCATTAGAGATATCGTGAATATACAAGATCAGTTTGTATTTAATAAAATCTTGTACCAATAATATCCTATTCTGGCTATGAATAAATTCGGTATGAAGCTTGTCGCTGTTTTCTTTGGAGAAAACACCCCATAGTATTATAGCATAGCTCACGTGACTGTGGAAAAGTGAATAAAAGACGGACGTCTTCACGTTGTTTGGCAAAAAGTATGCAATTCTTTTGAAGACACCAGCAACAGACAACAGTTTTTTAAATAAAAACGTTGTATGTGTTTTCCAGTTGAGTGCCGAATCAATCCATAGACCAAGATATTTAAAGTTTTCAACTTGTTCTAAAATTTCATCAGAAATAACGATTTTTAATGGTGGGGCAGTGGGACTGATAATCATATATTTCGTTTTCTTTATATTGAGTGTCAATTTATGATTTTGTATCCAAACTACTAACTTTGCTAGGTTTTCGTTGATTTTCTTTTCTAAGCTGTAATAATTGATATCATTAAACACCAAACATACGTCATCAGCGAAAGGGAATATTTCTGCTTTTTTTTTATTGGTGTGATTTTTTTATTGAATTTTTGCATTTATGCCAACTTGATCTATTCCCTTCATATAAAACAATAAAGGCCCTAGAACACTAACCTGCTGTACTCCATAAGAAATTGACTCATTCTGGCTTTTTGTAGTCCCTATTTGACAAAATTGGATGCGACTATTTAGATAAGAATGAAACAACTTATGACTTGTTCCGCGAATTCCAAAGCTATGTAATTTTTTCAGCAATATGTCATAGTCAACAGTGTCAAATGCTTTCGTCAGATCCAGGAATACAATAGCCACCATTCTTTTATTATCTTTAAATTTTTGAACAGAAGATAACATGCCGACTAAAGCAGATTCGGTACTGGACTTTGTTTTAAAGCCATATTGCCTCTTTGGCAACAAACCAAGCCTTTCAAGAAAAGATGACAACTGTCCGTTGACTATTTTCTCCAAACTTTAGACAATACCGGCGCAATATAAATTGGTCTATAGTTGTTTAGATCATCCTTATTGCCCGACTTAAAAATGGAGACCACTCTGGAAATTTTTAGCAAATCTGGAAAAACACCCTCAACAAAAGATTTATTAATAAAATTACAAATTGGGTTACATAGTGCTTCATTACATGCTTTCAACATATTTGTGGACATATTTAAAGAATCGACTGAGTTTGAGTTGTTTAGTGATTTAATAATGCTGAATACTTGACTTTCTGTATTGTCACAGTATTTTTTTGCTAATATTTTGCCCATATTGGCGAAGTGTCTGTTGAGCTCGTTGATTTTTTTAACAGCCTGTGAATCAGCTAAACCTTTTAACAAATCAACATTATTCTTTTGCCTGTTATTACCATAAAGAATTTCATTAATACAGCCCCATGTCTTTGACGAGGAGTGCTGATTTAAGGTAAACTTGTTTATAAAAAATTATATCTTTTGTTTCTTTTTAAGCTTGTAAATCTGTTTCTGAAATATTTATACTGTCTTTCAAGGTTAGTGTTCGTTTTATCTTTAATCCATTTAGAGTACCAAAACTGCTTAGTTTCCAATGCTATCATTAATTCGCTGTCAAACCAAAGCTTTTCATTTTTTGATTTCATCGACTTGACCCTTGACGCTTTTGAATTTAAAATTGAAGTATAAAATTTTTAAAGTTTCATTATTAATATTGATTTACCTGGAACAGAAGTTATTGGCAATAATAGATCCCTGCCTTACGTATTTGTCGCTGATGACGCTTTCCCTTTAGAAGAGCATATTATGAAACCTTATCCATACTCAACACAATCTCGAACAGAAAAAACTTTTAATTTTAGGCTAAGCCGTGCACGACAAAGCGTTGAATCGAAATTTTGTCAGCGAGATTTAGAGTTTTAAAAACAAATATAGATCTTCACTCTGAAAAAGTGAACCGTATTACACAAGCATGCGTAGTTCTCTACAATTTTCTATTGAAAAATAACTCAAGGTAAGTTTAAAACGTAATTTTTTGTGCTAAAATCATTAATTTCCTTTTATTCTGTAGGTGTTTAGAAAATTCCCAGTGTGCTGCAAGCTCTATAGGCGTTTCATCTAAAACGGAAAGAATGAGAAATCACTCTCAAGTTGCCAACGAAATAAGAAAAAAATTTGCTGATTACTTTATTGAGGAAGGTCGAACTGACTGGCAAGATCTAGATATTATCTAGAAAAAAGTAGAAAATGTTTTTTTTTTATAGCTAAGTAGAAGATAATACTCGTATGTATGTAAATAACTAAAAAACAAATCTTTTTTATTCACTATTGAATGTAACAAAATTAATAAGGTGTTTATTTCACAGCAAAACTGGTTTTTGATTCTCGAAATATTTTACTTTATTGGCACATTGTCCAAAAATGGTACAGAATTTCTAAAAAAATAACAAAAAATATGATTGATGAAAAAGGAAAATCAAAAACTAAATACCTATTTTTTAATGGATTATAAAATGAAATCTTCTTCAATAATATCATCATAATTTTCATCATATAGCCCTTCCATTGCTTGTTCTACAAAGTTTTTAGAATTAAAGTTAAATCGTTGTAACACCATAATTTTGGTGTATACTCATCTTCTACACCTGATCCACTTTTTTCCGACTTGATAATGAGATTTTTTTCTTTGTTATATTGTGTTTTTAAGGTATTAATTTTCTTTTTCAAATCAGTTATAGTGGCACTACTTTTTACATTTTGCATTTCTTTGCAAAGTTCGTGATAACAATTTTCTTTAGCTACTCTATTTAAATGACTAGGATGATTAATGTTAACTATGCTTAAATATTTTTCAATTTTCAAAAAATTTATTAGAACTGAGGTTTGAATTTTATTCCACAGCTAAATATACCTAAGCTTAAATCATGTTTTTTGCAATTTTTTCTCTCCAAATTCAACTTACTATTATCTTTGAAAATAATTTAATTTTCTGTTTAACTTTTTATGATTTCAATTTAAATTTTTTAACAAAAAATAATTTTCAAAACAACTTTTTTAAAGGCAACAAACACGAAACGACTTTGTTAAATTAATTTGACGTTTTAGTTTGAAACATTAAAAATAGAATGTGAAACAATGAAATCGAAATAACTAAAGAAAATTTAAAAAAACGTTCTTCAGTTTCTTCATGTTTTTTACAACAAAATACATGTGACTTCAGCTAAAACTGGCGTTAGAACTACATGCTCAGTTTTACCCCCAATGGCAATATTTCAGGACTGGAAAATGCTATATTTACCAAAATTTGACACAAAATAAAGTTTTGGACGCTGAATTCAATGGTGCTTCTATCAATTTTGTCTTATCTCGACTTAAGCGGTTTTGCCACAGATATATTGTTATTAACATTGTTTAGAGTTGTTGAGTAAAATTGTCAAACAAAACTGACAACATAAGAAATTTTTTGACAAAATATGTTCGTTTTGGAGGGCAATAAATAATTGCGATATTCAATTATTCAAAGAGAAAAAAAAATAATTAGTTTTATATTACAAATGATTTGAAATATTTTTTAGTTTTTACGTTAAAAAAAAAACTTCAACTTATCGTTCTTGCAAATTATACATATTTTATAGTAGAGGCCAGATAAGAAAATAAAATAAATGCGCCCCTGTTATGACATTGACAATGCTCGGAGCAAAAAAAGAGACAACTTTGAAAAAGTTTGGCTTCATTGTTTTTCCAAGATGCTCCTTTCCTCAGTATTTCTTATTCGTTGACTCTCACTGTAAACGTAAATTGAATTACGACAATAACATTTCTGCGACAATGAGCTTCTGTCAGTTTCGTTCTCGCCATGTCGCAGCAATTACAACGAAATAAAAATATTATTTTGAAAAAAACCAAGAAATTAAAAGTACTAAAAGAAGGAAAAAAACACAGTGAAGCCAAAAACTTTATGGAAGTCTCTTGCTTTCTAAGCACTCTCAAATTAAAATTGACATGAAATGCCTAAAAAATTTTTTGCCTTGGAAAAATTTGGCAACGCTGAAAAAGAGGTAAACAAAGAATTTTTTGTGATTTTGTTTTAAAAATTAGTGTAATTTATGAATAAAAAATTATAAAGCATTTAGAAAAAAGTATTAAAAAAGCTATTATTTAATACAAACTTATAAAAAAATATAAATCAAAAAACTAATAAATTTTTTTTGGAGAAACAAAAAGCATAGTTCCAAATCGTTATTTCCATTTGAAAAATCAAATGGATGTTTTCCACCATATGCATGTGAATATTATTTATTTTAATAAATAAAAGAAATATTTATTCACTATTGTTAAGTATAATTCATAATTTGTAAATTTATTAAGTTTTTAATTTTGAAAAGAAAACCTTGTGTTTGTTTTATTTTAGACCAAAAATTACTTCGAATAAAATAATTTTAGCAAGAGCGGACTTTTTTTCTAACCGAAATTAATTTGTGTTTAATAGAATACACTATATAAACAATATTTAAAATAATATTTGAAATAAACTAGAAATGATGATATAAAAAGAAAGTGGATTGCAGAATGAAAGTAAATAAAGCGGATTGAAGATTCAACTATTCTTGCTTACATCACCGTTGTAACAAAAAGTACATTGCAAGTAACACCGAAAGCAGTACAAAATATCATAAAAAAAATGTTTATCTCAAGCGCCGAAAGCTATTGTAATACAAAAATATGAGTGTAAATTTAGAGTTTGTTCGGAATTATCAAATAAAAGTTATACGATTTTGTCAAAATCGAAAAAACATCAAATTTAAATTTAATTTTTGATACTTTTATTATATATATGTATCCCTTTTTTTTAGACATTGTATTATTTTGCATTTGAAAACTTAAAAATCTTGATGCTTTGTATTATTTCATTCAATTGCTTACTTTAATAAGAATTTTTTTTTATCTAAAAGGACGAATCACTTCACTGAACTTAGCTAGTTAGTTCACTTCTTCAAAAATGAATCGTTCATCGTTCACTTAGAATTCCAGTTCTCTTCTAGTTATTAAAAAAAATTACTGCATATACATATTTTATTTACAAATGGTAATTGATATACAATTTATATTTTTCCTTATATTTTCTGTATTGGTATTACACAATACAAATAAAATTGAACGACATACTAAATAACGCATATGCAATACTTATAAAAACGAACGATATACTCCAATATAGAATTTTGATAAAAGCGAACGAGAAGTGCAATAAATGAAATACTATACACACAAAAGTGACTGAATCAGTTGCCAATAAAAATACAATACAAGTAAAATTGAACGATATACTAAATCCAAAGCTAATAAAAACGAAGCACATACTCCAATATGCAATATTGATAAAAACAAATGAGCATTAAAATAAATGAAATTCTATACACAAAAAAGTGACCGAATCAATTGGCAATATAAATACAATACAAGTAAAATTAATCGATATATTAAATCCAATAAAAAGAAAAACGAACGAGAATTGACCAAATTAAAAATCTACCTAAATAAGAAAATTTAATGATTGGACCAGTTGATTCAAATTGAAAGCTACCTGTACGAAAAAAAAGAAGCATTGAGCTGGCTTACTCTTCAATTTTATGCATAAATAAGTCTTATATTTATGCATAAAATATTTGGAAAAAGATAACAAATATGATCGCTTATTTACTTAAATATTTTGAATAAAAGAAAAAACTAAAAAAAAATTAATCATTATAAGTTAACGTTCTACTAAGGATTAAAATAAAAGATTAAAGTAAATTAAACAAAAGTTTACAAAAATTAAGATAGGATTTCAGTTTTTTTCGAGGATTAAAAGTAAAGATAATTATTTTTATTCTATAAATTTCTTATAAATAATAAATTTAAGCTTAAATGGTTTAAAATTTTTATTTCTTGAAATTTAAGAAATTATTTATAATTTAACAATTTTTTAACTAAAAGTTTTCAAGAAAATTTAAATTTTCCTTTGCGTTTTAAACTTTTTAGTTTATATTTATGTAAGTAGAGACATTTTGTGGTTCAAAACTTATTACTAATTCACAAAACACATTACATATGCTTTTCTTTAAAAATTAACCATAAATACGAATAGCCATATAGTTATAACCAAAAAACACGCAATTGAACGATTGAACGAGGATTTTATAATCGGTCAGTTAAAAACAGTAGTTCGTTGAGAAGGAATCTCTGAAATAACCGATATTGCCCATGACTCCTTACAGCTGAAATAAGTGTATAAAAAAAAGTTACCCAGACAAATTAAACATAAATAATGTGATTTTTTATTTTCTTCTTCCAGATAACGTTTTTAGATGCTTTCACATCTAAGTTTTTGCAATTAGATTTAACCTATATATATATAGGTCAACCTATAAATTGTACATAAAATAAAAATATAAAATAAAGTTGAGACCTAATGAAAATATAAAATAAACACGCTCCTGTTACGACATTGATGCTGCTTGGAATAAAGTTTTAAGACAACTAGAAAAAATTTTGCTTTATTTTTTATTCCAATCTTGACTTTCTTGGGTATAGCTTGCAATGTGCTTTTTGTTGATAACTATGATGTTCGCAAAACATTTGTCAATGTTAAATGTTGTTGTGGTAACTTTTTATTCATTTTTTGAATTTTGGATACAAATGCACTGCACCAATCGGCACGATATATTTCTTTGATGATTCCTTAATCTTTACTCTAGAAAATGAATAATTAACAAAGCAATTCACATTTAAAAAAAATTATTTATTACATTAGGTAAAGCATCTGGCATTAAATAAATTTTACCATATAATTTCCTTTTATATTTTTAATGTAAATGTTATGAAAGCAAAATATTTTGACTTAAACTCCTTTACTAATAAGTGAAACTCTACTTTTTTTCACTTCATCATTTCTAAGAAAACTGTTAATATTATATAAATTAGTCCATTTTAAATCTATATATATATATATATATATATATATATATACATTTTATTAAACACAAACTAATTTTGTTTCGAAAAGGAAGCTGCTTCTATGCAATTATTTTATCCGAAGTAATTTTAGTTTAAGTTTTCACATATTCAATATATCACCCGGGGTTTAATCATACATATATGGTGGAAAACATTTATTTGTTTCTTTAAATGAGAACAATATCTGGGAACGTAATATACGATTTTTTTAGGGTGTGTAAGCGAGATATCTTATCTCCCTGATATTTTATAAATTTACAACTTATTGCATTCAAAGGTATCGGTGCCGTCTTTATAAATTTCTTTGATAAGAAAAAGAGAAAATGTTCTTTTTGAAGAATTTTTATATGTGAAAATGTTCTTTTTGAAAACTAATATATTTTTATGATCTTCCGTATGACATTCCATTTTTAAAAATAATGTATTTCATACAGTGAAGACATAAAAAGTGGTTTCACATAACGACTTGCATTATTCGTTGACATAATGTGCAATTAAGCCTTGCCAAAAACACTTGCTTAGTTTGTTGGCAAAGTTGGCAAAGGTGGGAAGTGTGTCAGCTATTGATGTCGTTGTTTAAATTATTAATCACATTTATTGCATATAATTTTGGTAGCACTCCATCCATTCAGTGATCTATAGTGATCTGTTACATTTTGTTTTTTAATTTCTTTTTCATCTACTACTTTTAGCAAAAGCTGCCACACGTAATACGTCACAAGAAAAATGTCAATCCATTTTTAAGGGTCTTTTGGTCTTATATGGCTAAAAAGTGATAAATAAACTTTTAAAAAATATAAAATGCCAAAACTTGTTATTGATATTATTTAATTATTAGTGTACTTGAGTAAAAACGTTTTATGCTATGTCAGATAATAATGGTACAAAACCAATATTCAATGTCATTAATGAAGAAAATATATCAACGACTGAAAAGAAAGAAAACCATTACACAAATACAATGAGTATCTTAGAGAAAAAGATAAATAACTTAATCGAGTCCATATTTCTTTTTACTCTCGATAAAAACTCTGCAAATGATAGCAAACAATTAATTTTTATGGAAGAAGTTGGAGAGCAAACTGGGTCGAATATGCTTAACATTGACATACTTGAACAAGCTTTATTTGAACGTCTATTACTACAAGCGCCGGCAGACTATTTAATTCCAAATGACAAAATACTTGATGATACTGCTAATGTTACAGAAACTAAAGTTATTCATTATTTATATAGGTCATATTTAATGTGTTACCAATATAATGGTCTTGACGCAGAATTAAGCAAAGTGTGTCAGGAAATTAAGTCGTTAATTCTGAGAAATGTGTCCACTTCTATGAAACAACCAGATCTCTATGAGGGGCAGTCACTATCTTCACAATGGTTGGAGCTTTTAAAAGACCCTTTTGATCCAAATTATAATATAATCGCTAGCTTTTTAAGTGAAACAACAAAAGAAATGTATCTAGACGACGAAGCTAATGCAATGAGTGCATTGAAAGGGATATTCTATCCAATGTTATCAGAAATTCAGAAAGTTTTGCGTGCTGCCAGTATGATTTCAATAGAAAAGTGGATAATACCAGCGCTTCAAACATTTATTTCTGATAAATCTGTTCCTCAATTAGGAGAACTCTTTATGGACTTCACAACTCCAAATCCAGGTTCCGAAGGAGTAAGATACGCTGAAACTTTATTAGGACAACTCTTATGTATATCAATTTTGCCAAAAAAGCAAAATGATCCTTACGAATATTATGATAACTTTATGGACTCTTTATCCACAACACTTAATGATTCATTATGGACTTATTTGAAAAATCACTTAGACAAACTGCATACCCTATTTAAGTCAATTTTACTCTTAGGAGGATCAGCGAAAAGCAAAATACTAACATGGATTGGAAATTGTTTACATGTTAATACTCCAAGAGGTCAAATATGGAATACTCATAACATATCGGCTTTGGGTAATTTAACAAGTGCAAGCGATGCTTTTATGATTAATCTCTGCGGAGTATTATTAAGATTATGTGTACCATTATTTAAACCCGGCTTTAAAGTGTTGTTAGTGGATCCTACATACTGTGCTGTTACAGAAAATGATAGATTGAAAAAAAACGTCCATTTAAAAAATGTTTGCGAGGAAACTTGCCTTTTACCAGTAGAAGAAAATCAAATTCGAATTACTGTTGATAACTATAATTTTATAAGCGATTGTTTTTTCATGACCCATAAAGCAATCGATTTGAGTAAATTAATATAATATAAGATGTATTTCTTTTATTCAATATATGTTTTTTCAGGTTATAGAGTTTGCATGGAAAAATTTGCTCGGATGAGTCGTGAAATTCATCGCCTTCAAGGTGCTTATCAAGACACTATGGAACAAGGTGCAGTAGATGTTGCTCAAAATATTATGCAAATGTTAACGTCTCAATCACAACAGTTTCTTTGCTTAAAAAACACAATTATGGAGCCTTGCAATGATCAACTTTTACTCCAATTTTATGAAGCCACTGCTGTTTGGTTGATAGAAATAACAGCCAAATCAGAAAATGATTTGAAAAATATGTCTGAAATTAAATGTTTCGCCCCAAAAGAAAGACAAAATATATCATTACCATTAAATAATAAGGAGCCTCACTATTTGAGGTACGTATTTGAGTAAATAAATTTTCGAACAATTCTAAATGAAATATTTTTCAAAAATTTAGATCACTCCCAGAACATATTTTGGAAAACATTGTTGGCTATATGACTTTTGTCCGCCATTTTAAAAATCAAGCAATTGAACTTGATATCCCAGTTCAAAATGAATTATTTAGGACGATTTTAATTTTCATGGGGAGTGTAGATCGTGTGCGAAATCCTCATTTACGAGCAAGATTAGCAGAAGGTTTAGAAAGTTTGTTGCCAAAAGATACATCAAACACATTTAGAAGTTCGTTTAAAACCAATTTGTTTGATTGTCATCCCGATAGATTAGAGATTATCGCCAACTTATTAGATGTATTTGTCAGCATAGAAATGACCGGACAATCAGTTCAATTTGAACAAAAGTTCAACTATCGTCGCCCTATGTACAGGATAATGGAATTTTTATGGAGCTTAGAAGAACAAAAAGAAGTTTTTAAGTACTTATATATACATTTGTATCCGTTGAACTTTAGTTAATTTAAAAAGAATATTTTCAGAACGTTAGCTATAGAAGCTGTAAGAAATATAGAAGCCGTGAAACCACCTATATTTTTACGATTCGTGAATTTATTAATGAATGATGCAATCTTTCTTCTTGACGAATCTTTGTCTAATCTACAACAAATAAGACAATTGCAAGCTGCTCAAGATGCAGGTGAATGGGATAATCTGCCACAAAATGAACGACAACAAAATTTTGCTAATTTACAGCACTTAGGCATGATAACAAAATTTGACAACATCTTAGGCCGCGATACTATTAACATTTTAAAGCTTTTAACTAGTGAAATAAAGGAGATATTTTGTCACGAATCCATGGTTGATCGCATAGCCTCCATGCTAAATTATTTTCTTTTATACTTGGTTGGGCCTAAAAAAGGAAATTTCAAGGTATGTAGGCATTTATAACTTTTTTCAAATATCAAATATTACTAACTTTTAAAATTGTAGGTTAAAGACAAAAAAGAATTTGAGTTTGATCCTGCAAATACTGTCATGGAAATTTGTCGAATATATGTTAACTTAGAGGGAAATAAAAATTTCTGCTTAGCCGTTTCTCAAGATGGTCGATCTTATAGTGGTGAACTATTTGCTTTTGCGGAGCAAGTTCTAAGTAATATTTTTACAATTCCTCTTTTCATAATTAATTTTTTTTTGTTTGAATTTTAGTTCGTATTGGTGGCGGTCAATTAATTGGCGATATTAGAGAATTTTCGGATAAAGTCAAGCGCCTTGAAAAGCAGCATAAGGAAGATCAACAGGCGTTGATTGATCCACCAGATGAGTTTCTTGATCCCATAATGTCAACCCTTATGATGGATCCAGTTATTCTACCAAGTTCCCATGTTACTGTTGACAGGGCCACAATTACTAGACATTTGTTGAGTGATCAATCAGATCCTTTTAACCGCTCACCTTTAACAATGGATCAGGTGAAATCAAATGCAATATTAAAAAATGAAATTGATGCTTGGATCAAAGAAAAACGTCATGAATACAGTGAGAAGCAATTACAAAACACGAATAAGCAAATACAAGAAATTTTAAAAAATGAAAGAGAAACAGAATAACAAAATATAACTTTTTTGGGGTTTTACAATTTTTCTCTTCTATTCAGGTTTTTGTTATTTTATGCTTTGTAAATGAAGATGAATTGCAATTGATGTATGCAAAAATGTGTTACATACATAATAGTTGAATATATTTGTAGGTGTACGTGTATATATGCATATAGTTTAACATTCGTCTCAAATTTTAAGTTACAAATACATACATATATATACAATTTAATATAGACACATATTTTACAAAAATTTAATAAATACTATCAATAACGACACTCAGTTTTGTTTTTATGAAAATTTTTATTTAAAACTAAACAACACTTTAGTATTATGACGAAAGAAATTTAATTTGATCAACTGGCCAAACACGCAAAATAACTCGGCTTTTTATCAAACCAATTGGCACTGGACCATAATATCTAGAATCTGAACTATTTTTGGTATTATCACCTTCAATCCACACATGTCCTGGAGGAATAACAATTTCAGCTAAGGGAACTCTTTTTTCTACATTTGTAACTGTTTCATCTTGTACAATTTGTATCAAATCTTTTGATTTTGCTGATAAAGCCTTATTTGTTGAGCTAGTATTGTTGGGTGATCCGATTTGGCTTTTCAACTTTGATGTGTTATTAATAGTTTTTAAATCATCATCACGAATTTCTGTTGCATATAAATTTCTTTTGTAATGGTTAATTGTTAAAGACATCATGAGATCCGTGCGTGCAATTATACGATCACCCGGAAGCCCAATAACCCTGAAATATATTTTTAGAATTTGTAATAAACGAAAGGTGATTTCAAGAATAAGATGGTTATTACTATATGAATAGTAACCTTTATTTTTTTAAATTGAAAAGTTTAGAAACAAATAAAGTTGTATAAAAATTAACTATATTATAAGCGTTAAAAACTATTGATAGAATAGTCTAATTAATAAATTAATATATTTAATAAGTATGTATCTATTTGTTTGACGTTTATTTGTTATAAATTAGGTACACGCTTATTATAACAAATGGGCTGGTATATTTAAATTCTTTTATTTAATTCCAATGTAAAAAAACTTGGCAAATATGTTTTAAATACAGTTTTTATTTGCTAAAGCTCTTGAAGTTATCTTGCTTCCTAATTATCAAATATAATTTTAATTACAATACCATACTTTAAAGTGCTGTTCAAAATATGTTATTCTCGGTAATTACTCAGCTTCATCAGAGATGTACATATGAATACCGGTTGTCTGAGACTCGATGTGATCCCCGAAGCAAGGTGATAAAATGACTTCAGACGAACAAAAAACACCTAGTGATATTTTAATTTTTGGGTCCTTGTTCTCGAGTTATGGGGCCTCAAATTTGGAAAATGGCAAAACCTTTAATTTTTACATTTTAATAGATAATTCGGGAAACACCACATGTAAAGCCAACTTTGTATACTTAACAAAAACACGAGCTATAAATTAAGATGTAACAATTAGATGCTTTCCAATATTCCAAATTCGCGGAACAAGGACCCAAAAATTAAAATGTCACTAGGTCTTTTTGTTCGTCGGAAGTCATTCTATCACTCTGCTTCGGTAATACCAGCGTGTCTTGGACACCTGTATACATACATATTTATTTTTGAATATATATATATATGTATATATTTATTTATTATACCTTTTACATATATGCTGCTGAGGGTTTGTAGGACATTTTGCAATTATAATATCCCCACGATCTATTCTGTTTAATCTTGGTGATATTCTATCTGTCAGCAAAACTAAAAAATTAAAATATTAACTTCATTTTTTTTGACATGCCACAATCGTTTGTTACCATTGTTAGAAAAGAGAGTTGGTTCCATAGAAGGACCAGAACACTGAAATAACCTACGCATAAAGATTCATTCGATGAAAATCATAAAAAATGTCATACCACAACTAAATCACCAATATATTCAAAGGTACAATGTGCTACGCAACCATACTGTATAATGTAACCTGCGACCCCAAGTGTTTTTGTTAAGAACTTAAACATATTAAAAACAAAAAATAACAGCGAAAAACTAAAATGTATATCTTTTAAAGTTTTTTTTGTTCAATAATTCAAAGCAAATTTTATCACACGTATTCTACTTATTCAGCTTATGAAACAGAATTTCCCAAAATATATTTTATATGAATGCCAATGTTGACTGCTTGAATAAGCGCCGTTCCAACCTCCTTCATTCAACTTGCAGTTTACATGTACGACGAAATCTCAGATCGAATCTATGAGAAAGTCTGATGACTGTTTACATATCAAACTGAAATTATCTGCTGGGACTCAATTTTTTTAAAACTTCATATTTTTTTTTTTGATTCAAATTCAAATTACAATATATACAGTAATGTTTAAAATTTTTGCAATCGCTTAGTTTAATTTAGCTTCTACCACGTCTGACAGGTGTTTTTGTTATATCAAGGTTTACACTATTGTTTTTAAAAATCTGGCGGAAAATTTAGTGATAATCGGATGGTTTTTTAGTTTTTCTATGGGATTCGAATTCGATTACACATCAAATTTTCATCAGACCAAATTTAAGATGCGTTTCCTCTCAGTATTCGAATGTTCGGACAATTTTTTAACCAATCAAAATGTTTCATTTCACTAATCCATATGCTAAACGAAAATGGCTTGGCCAACGAATTAGAAATACTAAAGGAAGGAGCATCTTTGTTTCTTTCTCGCTTACACTCACTACAAAAACGTATGTTGAAAAAAAAAAAATGAAGCCTAACCAATTAGAATTACTAAAAGAAGGAGCATCTTGAAAAAAAACAATGAAACCAAATTTTTTTTAGTTGTCTCTTTCTTTGCTCCGAGTATTTATTTTATTTTCTATTTTGGCCTCTACTATAAAATATGTGTAATTTGTAAGCAGCATAAGTTAAAAATTTTTTTTAAAGGAAAAACTAAAAAATATTTCAGAATATTTTATTTTAAATATTTGTAAATTTAAACAAAACTCATTATTTTTTTTCTCTTTGAATAAATTTATTTTATGAATTATAAAATTATAAATTTTGGCAAAATATTTGAAAAGCAAACTTGTTTGTTAATAATTCCAATTCACTTTCTCTGCATTTCATTACTTGTAAAACAACTGTAATTATATAAAAGAAGATCAAATTAAAATATTGTATGTATGCTACATTTTATCAATGTTTTGCTAGGCGAACACAAACTAATTTTGCTTAAAAAATATCCGATCCTGGTAAAAGTATGTCATTCAAAGAAATTTTAATTTAAAACGAAAAAAAAAGATGTTTTCTTTGCAAAATAAAAAACTATTTCTAAAATAATTTAGAACTATACAACAGATATTTCTTTTTCAACAGATTTTTTTCTTTTTTTCACTTGTTATATTTTTTTTATAAGTTTTTATCAAGTTTTTTTTTTTTTTTTTTTTTTTTTATATTTGAACTTAAACTGGCCTAGGGCCAACCATCAGTTTTTCGTTGTAAGCTTATTACTAGATGTTTTAACTATAACATCAGACACCCAACGGTGAACTGACGCAACCTCTGGTAGACAATATGTTGCTAAAGAAGGTCCAACGGCTTTTTTCTTTTCAGGCGTCGTGTGATCCCGGATGTATTGGTCAACTTCGATGCCTCCGTGTTAATATGTTCCTCCAATTTAGCAGCATGCTTTATCGCAAGCCTTTTAATTTCGTCGATGACCCAGGGAATGTTCAGATCCCGGTGTAAATCACTGTTTCTTACGTACCATGGCGCATTCACCATGTTACGTAAGACCTTGTTTTGAAAACGTTGAATTATGTTTATGTGTTGATTAGCGGCACAGCCCCAAAGTTGAATTCCATATAGCCAGACTGGTTTTAGCACCTGATTATAGACAAGTAGCTTATTTTTCGTTGACAGTTTTGATTTGCGACCGATCAGCCAGTACAATTTTCTATATTTCTGATCCAGCTCTTTTCTCTTAATTTTAACATGTTCTTTCCACTTTAATTTCACATCAAGTGTCATGCCCAAGTATTTTGCGGTTGATTCGTGTGGTACAGGTACTCCATTTAGGTAAATAGGAACGTGCTGGTGTATATGCCTATTTGTAAAGTTAATGTTTGTTGACTTCGCCTCGTTAAGTTTTATTTTCCACTTTGTAGTCCATTCTGAAATTTGGTCATTTGCATTTTGCAATTTTTTAGAAGAATCTAAATAATTTTTGTCAACTGCTAGTAAGGCTGTATCATCTGCGAAGGTAGCAACGGTGACCCCTTGAGGAGTAGGAACGTCACTGGTGTACAAAACAAACAATAGTGGGCCCAGTATGCTGCCTTGTGGAACCCCCGCATGTATTTCTTTTAATTCCGAAAAATCTTCCCCCACTCTTACCCTAAATAGTCTGTCGTTGAGATACGATTTTATTAATTCGACAAATTGAGTTGGTAGAAAGTCATGTAATTTGTAAATTAATCCTTCGTGCCATACACGATCAAACGCCTGAGCTACATCAATCAGCATCGCTGAACAAACCTCTTTTTCTTCCAGAGCCTTTTCTATTACGTCAGTGATTCGATGGATCTGCTCTACAGTAGAGTGTTTTTCTCTAAAACCGAACTGATGGTTTGGAACAACGTTTCTTTCTTCAATCAACACTTTCAGCTTCCTCAGAAACAGTTTCTCAAACAGTTTAGAGACCACTGGGAGAAGAGAAATGGGGCGATATGACTTATACTCATTTTGCGGCATGCCAGGTTTCAGCAACATGATGACTTCAGCTACTTTCCAGGACGTAGGAACGTACTTCAGTTTAAAGGCGGCGTTAAACAGGTAAGTTAGCATTTTAATAGCCCTAGCTGGTAGGTTTTTCAGCACCTCAGATGTTATTAAGTCGAAACCAGGAGCTTTCTTCGCTTTAAGACTCTTTTTGATCTCGCGTGACACCTCCTTATGGGTTATTACGCCTATTTCCTGATCAGCAGAATTTTGAGGAGATGCGACGTTCACGTTTGAATAAATCTCATTTGGTGTAAATATTTCGGCTAGATGATTTGCAAAAACCTCCGCTTTTTCGGCGTCGGATTTGGCCCATGAGTTGTCGGATTTACGAATCGGGGGAACATGCGTGATGCGGTTGTCAAATTTCTTCGTTTCCTCCTATAATGAATGCTCTGAATTGTCTTTGGGTGACAAATTCTCAATATAATTGTTGAATGACTGTTCTTTAATTAACTTAATTTCTTCTTTCAGGTTTTCCGTTAGTCTATTCAGGATGAATTTGTGTGCCGGATCTCTGGTTTGCTGCCAACGCTTTCTTGCTCGTCGTTTTTCCAAAACCAAGGTTCTAATTTCTAGTGGGTAATTAACTCCTTTTGTTTTTTGTTGGACTATATGCGTACTACTCCATGCGGCCTTTTGCACCAATGTGTTAAAATTTTCCGCTGCTACTTCCAAGTCGTTTTTATCAAGTAGTATTTTTTTTTTAACACTTATTATTAAATATTTAAAATTATATATTAACTTATTTAAAAAAGGGTGTTAAAAGAAGAATATTAATTTATAAAAACTTATAAAAATATAAAAACAAAAAAAAAAGAGTGTATACGAGTTGTTCTAAATTGTTATTACCATTTGCAAAAACAAATGGGAAAGAAAAAATTTGTTTTTGTTTTGTTTTAAATTAAAATTACTTTGGACAACATATTTCTATCAGGACCGAATTTTTTTTTCAAGCAAAATGAGTTTGGGTTTGATAAACTGCAGCATACAAACAAATATTTTAAATAGTCTTTTTTTTTGTATAATTACAGTTTTCCTAGAAATGATGAAATGAAATATATTTCCCTTTATAGAGTGAACATATGGTCACTAAAAAAATATATGAAAGAACGAGCATCTTTGTTTCTATCCCGCTTGCACTCCCTAAAAATTTTATCTTAAAAAAGATAAAAACTTCAGGTATTATCGTTTCTTTGTTCCAAGCATTGTCAAATTGAAGCTGACGCTTAATGCCAGATGTTTTTCTCCTAGAAAAATAAGTGACGCTGGTACAAAACGTAGACAATAAAGTGTGGTTTATGGAACAATTTTATTATTTAAAATACATATATAAAAGTGATAAAGAAGACTATTACTATGCAAAAAGTGATTAAACAAGATACAAAAGTAATGGACTAAACAGATTTTTGCATTCTAAATTATAAATTTTTATATACTTTTTATAATAATTTGCAAAACATTCAATGCAAATTGGAATTTGACATGAATTACGCAACATTGTCGTTTTTTTTGAACCTCTGTCTGAAATTACTAGTTCTTCAGGTGGTGAAAATAATTTTCGAGGAAAAAAATTTTGGTCTTGGTTCTTCCATATAATAGATTAAGATTCATTGTTGTTTTCTATATTTGGTAATAATTGAATTTAATCCTTGAGATCAGTTTCTTCACCAGCAAAACTGTCGGATCAGCCACAGAATGATCATCAACCATTCACAATTTCTCTATTTGCTTTTCGTTGTTCACAACATTTTGATAGCTTTCCTTGAATTCGGCTTTCTGAAAGAACATCGACTTAAGCAAAGTGTAAAAATCGTTGTAAATTTTGTTGGGAGTTTGAAACAGTGGGAGAAATTATGCTATCCAATAGCAAAGTATTTATATACCTATTTTTATTCATAATGTTATAAATAAAAGGCAAGTTACCACCTCCAGCAGTACTTATACAACCCTATACAATCACATTGCCGTCACCCGTACAATAATTGTTGACAAAATATTTTCTTTATTGAAAGCAGTACAGTAATACCCCGCACTTACGTACCCTTTGGGACCGGAGCCTGTACGTAAAACAAAAATGTACGTAGAATGAATCTACTACTTTATTGATGAATAATATGTTTGAAACAAACTAAAACAATAAATATATAAATAAAAAGAAAAAGAGGGATATTATGTATGCAGTTTTATACTTTTATTTCATACGTTTTTATACTATATTTAACACTTAACGTGTATTAAAAAAACAAAATAATTTTGGACAGCTTTCCTGAGGATAACAGTAATTCAAATTTAATTGCTCCATGATGTAGAGAATGATGTATCATCTTCATCTTCATTGACTTGTTTTGACTTGTTTCTACATGCATTCACTCATAACAAAATTTAGGTTTCATAGAAATAATGTACAGACATACAAAAACACGTTGTTACAAGTGTACATTCTCAATTTGGTATACATAATTGTTTTTTCCATAAATTTCAAAACCAGAAAAAATGTACTTGTACGTAAGTGTGAATCATTGTACGTATAATGGGCAATTGGGGACAAAAATGAGATGTACGTAAGTGTGAGGGTACGTAAAACGAGCGAACGTAACACGGGGTATTACTGTATTTGGTTTTCACCACACTTTTGAATGACCATTATTACAAAAATTATAATACTCACTTTCATCACTAAAAATGACGTTATTCCAAAAATCATTCGATTTATTTAAGTGCTCTTTAGCAAATTTAAGCCGTTTTCTTGTGGATATTTGATATGAAAGATTTTTGTCAAGGTCCATTAAAATCACTATTTTGTAAAATATTTCGAATTGTTTGAGGATTGCAATTCTTCTGTGCTAAATCTTTCATTTTTTGCTCAATAGAAAGAGTTGAAATTTTTGGCTCTTTTTTTACTATGTTAATAATAACTCGATCTCTTTAGAAGTGAATATTTTTGGTCGACCACTTCGTTGCTATTCGATTTTCTTAGTAAATTTTTATCTCAATTAAATTACCCATTCCTGTTGAAATTTCTTTGCTTCTGCCCATATTTTTGTATAACAGTTATTAACAAAATAATAGAATATTTTTTGAATATTAATAAAAAAAAATTTTTTTAACAACTCTGAATCATCGGAATTATTTGAATACCATAACTAAGTGAAAACTTTTTTGATCAAAAATTATATTTAAAATTCTACTTAAAGCGGGGATTTCCCTATTTCGTCCAACTACTTTTTAATATAACATAAACTTTTTTGTTAACATCACAAGGAGCCTATTTATTTTTAAAAATTAACTCAAAAAATGCATTTTTAGGAACTTGAAGGTAAAACATTCAAAGTGTTTTTTGGACTGACTGTATATGCAGAACTAAACTGTATTGAAGGTAAAACATGAAAACTTTTTGGACTGACTGTATATGCAGAAAAATTCATAAATTCCCCTCATTAATATGTACATAAGAATTATGTTTAATATAATAATCATCACATTTAACAGCCTCACCTAACAAACAACAACACATGAAAAATTCTAATACAAATCTGTCACATTCAGGTAACTAAACATTAAAAATAGTACTAGTTAATAATAGGTATAAATCACACAATTCAATAACAAAACCACAAAACTTTATTTTGTTTACTATATATACTATTTATGTTGGATTTATTGCTTCGTCAGTTTAGCGATGAACTGATGTATTTTACATGAAAATTTGGAATTTTGACATTTTGTTTATTTTTAGTACAGCTTTTTTTCTCTCTCAAAAAGTTAAATCAACTTCAACTTTAGTGCGGAGATTTACATTGTATTAACTATTTAACCAGTTATTACAATTACATATAATTCTTGTCAAAAAAGTAATAAATGCATCACATTAAAAAAAAAACGATCAGCTTTTTTCAGATGAACCAATGAACAATCAAGAGAAAAAATAGTTCGACTACAAATAGCTCTGCTCAAAAACGACGAACCAATGCATCCAGCTTAATTGTTGATTTGCAATGCTTCATTACGCGTATACATATGCAGACTATTCAAGTTAAGCTAATAATTTTATCAGATCAACTTGACTTGAAAATTTTATTCAAGTTTATATCAGGTCGAAATTCGCTTGAAACCGTTTTTAAGCTGCATATAAACGCGGTATTATATCATAGTTACATATATTGCTTTTAAAATAATTGATTCAGTAATATAAATTTTCTTGAAAAATAGTTTGCTAGTACAAAGCTAGTTTATTAAACTGTGTGTTAATAATTTGACTGCAATTTCTTTTGTACGAAGTCTGTTAAATGCACTACAATCATTTTTGAAAGGTATGTCAAGCATTGACGCAAAAGTTGTAGTGTAAACATAGCTGCTACTCAATGTATTTCACTTTATATTACTTGCAGAAATACATACATATATATATGAGATTTACTGAATTTTGCTTTAATTTTCAATTTTCAGTTTAAAAATAATTAAAAACAAAAAAACATGTTTGCGGGTTTTAATATAATGTTTCCTGAAAATGCTAGATTTTTTCAAAAATTTAAATGTTATTCAGTATCAATGTTACCTGGAAATGAACGTCAGGATGTTGAAAAGGGGGGCAAAATTATAATGCCACCATCAGCTTTGGATCAATTAACAAGATTAAATGTAGTGTACCCCATGCTTTTTAAGCTGACTAATAATAAGAAAAGTCGAGTCACGCATGCCGGTGTGCTAGAATTTGTTGCAGATGAGGGCAAAGTTTATTTACCATATTGGATGATGCGAAATTTATTGCTGGATGAGGGTGACCTTTTGCAGATAGAAAATATATCGCTCCCCGTAGCAACCTTCTCAAAGTTTCAACCACAAAGCATAGATTTTTTGGATATAACTAACCCAAAGGCAGTTTTGGAGAATGCTTTAAGGTATTTTTCTTGTCTAACGACAGGAGATTCGATTGCAATAAAATATAATCAACGGATTTATGAGCTATGCGTCTTGGAAACACGGCCTGGAAATGCGGTTAGCATAATAGAGTGTGATATGAATGTTGAATTTGAAGCACCATTGGGGTATAAAGATCCGAAAACTGAAGAACGGAAAAAGAATGAGGAGCAGTTTGAAGAACCCATGGAAGAAGTTGAAGAAGATAATAAGTTCACGTTTCGTGGGGAAGGTGTTCGTTTGGATGGCAAAAAGAAAAAGGAAACCCAAATTGATATAAAAGATGTTGTGAAAAAAACTCAAGTTAGGGGTATTCCAGATTATAATCATCCCAGTGGATTAATAAAATTTAATAGGAGTATAAAACCTATAAGCGATAGAGTGAAAGAATCAGTAGACAAAATCGAAGACGACGTTTCTGACGCATTTCATGGTTCTGGGTTTTCTTTGAAAAAAGGTAGAAAATGAATAAAATTGAATTAGATATAAACTACTCAAAATGATTTAATGATTTTGCAAATATCAAAACATATTTATACAGGGTGTCTTAAACTTGGTACGTTCCAAATATTGTGTCAAGAGAAAAAACACTAAATGACCTCACTGAGTTGTGAAGTCTCAAGTATATTTTTTTGAACACTGCAATTTTAACATTTTCATTTATAATTTGGGAAATATGACAAGCAAATAAATGAATATGATACATTTATTTTAAAGCACATGAAAGTCCTCTTCTAGCCGTGTATTACTCGTCTCAAAGATTTTTATTTCCAAAGATATTTAAATACAAAATCAAAATTCAACAAATTTTCTTTTAATTGTTATTTGCTCAGTATAATACACTAGTACAGTTTTTGCAATGGGAATTTATGTCTGATGTTTTGACTTCTATAAATTTACAAGACAATATTTAAATGTTATTACTCAAAATTATGCATTGTTAACATGTAATGAAGCACATTAACCTTAGCATCATTTCAAATATTATTTATAAAATATTTCAAAAAGTTAGAAGAAAATGGCCGCGAATGAAGATTTAAAATCAATTTTTCAAATAAAAAAAAAACTTACTATAGACATAAGCTTTTTCACAAGAAATTAATTATAATCTAAGTTATGTACACCATGCAGCGTATTTTATTATTGTACCAGGAGTGCAATTCCTGAATATAAAGGACATAGCTAATTTTTCATTAAATCTATGATAAAATCTGATGAGCATTTGCACATCAGATTCATTTTATGTAAGGTTGTCAAAGCTTCAACAGCAGGTCTATCTAGGATAAGAAAGTTTTTAAAATCTTTTAAGAACTTTATAAAGTACTAACATGCAAACTGTCTGGGATAATACTTTTTAAAAAAATGAGAGAAAATGATGACATTCTCATTTTCTCGTTATTTAAAGTAATGGCTTTATATCTAATCTAACATAATGTCTTTATATCTAACAAGTCCCAATGCTCAGAGAGAAACTTGAAAGCACGACCTTATTTTATATGGCCTTTTTTAAATCGAAGTGGCTATTTTTTGAGAAGAAATATTAAAATAAATTCACACTTATTATAAAGCAGGTAAAATTTAGAACATATATTTGAAAAATCAAAAAAATATATTAATATTTTCATTGATAATTATTTTAAAATTTTAAAAAAAGCGGAAAAACAACAAACACAACCTTCGCCTTCAACGTTTTATGTTACTGAAAGCATTTCATTTTTTTTAAGTGAACAGCTTTTTTTTCTCATAGGATAAGTTAACTCAAGATATGGGAAGTACCTGTGGTGTCAAGTTGAAAATATAATTAATGAAAGACAATTATTAAATATTGGTATAAATACGTAGTAAAGAAAAAATTTGAAGAGGGAATTAGAAAATAATATCTAAAATACAATCAAATATTATTTGTTAAATACAAATTTTATATAAACTTCAAAATTTTATCTCTATTTTTATTTGAAAAAAATATTAAAAACTTACTATCATTTATATCAATTACCTAAGAAAAAAAATATTTAAAATGTTTGGAAAAAACAATGATATATTTTTATGACCGGATTTGAATATTTTTCTATTTTTGAAATAAATGGTATTTTACCAAATGGCTCAAAAATTCCGACTGTAAAATAACAGGTATTTTAAAATTTTTGTTCTTTATGTAAAATTCTTTCCGTTTAGAATTAAGATAGTTCATACATACACATGCAGGGACATTTTATAAATAGATTGCTCTTGTTTACCTGCTAATAAAATATGAAAAAAGAACACAGCAAAATTTTTGAAGCACTCAATATAACATGTTTGAAATAATTTTAAAATAATTATTTAAAAAAAATTTATTGGAAGTAGGTACATACATATTTATTTTTAATAACTTAAAAACTAACTGAAATTATTTGAAACAATTTTATAAGTAATGTATAAATAACCGAAATGAGATAATTCAAATTGTTGAAATGTGTCAACCTATATTACTTTTATTAACATTTTTGTTAGCCGACACTACTCAACTTACCTTATTGGAAATATCAATTTAAAATTTTTTATCATTTTTTCTTTCCTCCTACCTTTCTTTCTTTTTCGTGCGATAGAATTTAAATGGGAAGCTTTTTAAAAAATGTGTATAATATCCTGAGATTTTTTAAAATATTAATCTCTTTTTTACGTAAAAAAAAAGAAAAAAATAATAAAAAATATGACACGATCAGTGGCATTTAAAGAAAAAACAAACAACGAGGCCAAAAATTCGTAATATTTCGTAAAAAAAATTGAGTATTGGGACTTGATATAAAGACATTATCTAACAAGTCCCAATACTCAATTTTTTTTGATATTTCAGTATAGTTTCAAATGTTAATGAGGAAGGATGTATGATTTTTCATGCACATTTTGTATTTCCCAATAAGGTAAGTTGAGTAGTGTCGGCTAACAAAAATGTTAATAAAAGTAATATAGGTTGACACATTTCAACAATTTGAAATATCGCATTTTATTTATTTATACGTTACTTATAAAATTGTTTCAAATAATTTCAGTTAGTTTTTAAGTTATTAAAAATAAATATGTATGTACCTACTTCCAATAATTTTTTTTTAAATAATTATTTTAAAATTATTTCAAACATGTTATATTGAGTGCTTCAAAAATTTTGCTGTGTTCTTTTTTCATATTTTATTAGCAGGTAAACAAGAGCAATCTATTTATAAAATGTCCCTGCGTGTGTATGTATGACCTATCTTAATTCTAAACGGAAAGAATTTTACATAAAGAACAAAAATTTTAAAATACCTGTTATTTTACAGTCGGAATTTTTGAGCCATTTGGTAAAATACCATTTATTTCAAAAATAGAAAAATATTCAAATCCGGTCATAAAAATATATCATTGTTTTTTCCAAACATTTTAAATATTTTTTTTTCTTAGGTAATTGATATAAATGATAGTAAGTTTTTAATATTTTTTTCAAATAAAAATAGAGATAAAATTTTGAAGTTTATATAAAATTTGTATTTAACAAATAATATTTGATTGTATTTTAGGTATTATTTTCTAATTCCCTCTTTAAATTTTTTCTTTAATATGTATTTATATCAATATTTAATAATTATCTTTCATTAATTATATTTTCAACTTGACACCACAGTTACTTCCCATATCTTGAGTTAACTTACCCTATGAGAAAAAAAAGCTGTTCACTTAAAAAAAATGAAATGCTTTCAATAACATATAAAACGTTGAAGGCGAAGGTTGTGCTTGTTGTTTTTCCGCTTTTTTTAGAATTTTAAAATAATTACCAATGAAAATATTAATATATTTTTTTGATTTTTCAAATATATTTTCTGAATTTTACCTGTTTTATAATAAGTGTGAATTTATTTTAATATTTCTTCTCAAAAAATAGCCACCTCGATTTAAAAAAACCCAATAAAATAAGGTCGTGCTTTCAAGTTTCTCTCTGAGCATTGGGACTTGTTAGATAAAAAGACATTATTTAAAGTTTTGTAAAGTAAAATTTAGTGTTTTCAAAACTTTTCAACTCTTACAGCTGTCGAAACAAATGTTTCTTGGTTATGTCAGGTTTTATTTTTGAAAAGAATTTCATCAATAATAATTTTTCTATATAAAATAACAAATTTTTTCAATTAAAAATAAAATAAAATAACCAAAATGGTTTTTTCTAGGTTTCACACTTTTATGATCCAAAATCAAAATTTTCGGTTTTTGGTAAAAAATATTTGTTTATGTTTAATTAATACTTTGAAATTTGAAGTTTATCGTCTATTTATATAGTTTTTAAAAGTTTACTGTCTGGTTTATGTTTTTTTAAGAATTTTTTTTCTTTTTGAGAGAAATTTTATCATTGTTTCTTTTTTTAATGTTTTTGCAATTTTATCCCAGAGACAGACCTATAGTTTTATATTTTTCATTGTAATTTTTGAGTGAGAATTCCTTAGTGTCACGTTTTTCCTACAATGTACATATACAAAATTTAATCGTTAAGCCCTACCATGAATTATAAATCAGCACTGACAGCACCATTTTTCGGGAAGAGTTTAAAACGATCCTTCCCTTTAAAATGCTTGGTACGTGTGATTATTTCTTTTGTAAACTTTTGATATTTTAACTACTTCTTTTGCGAGCAGCAACTTTTCAGGATATGACACAAGCTTTCGACAGAGTATGGTACACAGGCTTAATCAACAAAATTAATTTTTTACCATCATCGTACTTTTTAGGGTAAAAATTAAAGATCAATACTCTGAATTAATAAAAATAATGGTAGGTATACCACAGGGAAATATCCTGGGACCGTTCTTGTACCTACTTAATGTCTTTGTATCTAGCAAGGCTATTTTTTGAGAAAAAGGTTTTTTAAATGGAAGTGCCTATTTTTTGAGAAGAAATAAAAAAATAAATTCACACTTATTAGAAAATAGGTAAAATTCCGAAAATATATTTAAAAAATCAATTAAATTTATTAATATTTTCATTGACAATTATTTTAAAATTCTAAAAATACATACAAAAAAAGCGGAAAAACAACAAGCAAAACCTTTATCTTCAACATTTTATATGGTACTGAAAGCATTTCATTATTTTTAAGTGAACAGCTTTTTTTTCTCATAGGGTAAGTTAACTCGAGATATGAGAAGAAACTGTAGTGTCAAGTTGAAAATATAATTAATGAAAGGATAATTATTAAATATTGGTATTTATTATATATTGGGGATTAGAAAATAATATCTAAAATAGAATTAAATATTATTTTATTAATACAAATTTTATATACACTTCAAAATTTTACTTCTATTTTTATTTGAAAAAAATTTTTACCAAACTAAAAAATATTTAAAAGGTTTTGGAAGAGACAATCAATTATTTTTATGACCGGATTTGAATATTTTTTTATTTTTGAAATAAATAGTATTTCAGCAAATGATTCAAAAATTCCGATTCTAAAATGACAGGTAGTAGATACTTATTTAAATTTTTTTCCGTTTTCGTTTAAGACAGGCCACTCATAGACAGGGCCATTTTATAAATATTTAATGTATATTTTATTATCATCTTGTTTACCTGGTAATAAAATTTGAAAGAAAAGCACAAATAAATTTTGGATCCGCTCAATATAACAAGCTTGAACTAGTTTTAAAGCAATTATTTACAAAAAAAAAAATGGAAGTAGGTAATATGAAAGAAGAGCACAAATAAATTTTGGAACCGCTCAATATAACATGTTTGAACTAGTTCTAAAGTAAT